ATAATGTTTTTTTTTAACTTTAAACCGCATAAACACATTTCATTACACCAAATACACAAAATAATGTTCTTTTTAGCAGCATCATATGACCCCTTTAAATCAAAATAAGTCATAAGTGGCAGACAGCAAATGCCTCACTGAAGTTTTAGAAGACTGCATTAGAATAATACAGAAAAAAAAAATCACATATTTGCTTGTAAATATACCAAACCTTGTCTAAAGAAATGTGGTCTCCAGAGTGGCGTGCAGATCTAAAATAAATAGATAAAATACATTAAATAATTTCAAAAAAGTAAAAACAATACTTTGAATATGTTCATATTTTAGTATGTTGTAAGAAATGCGGATTATTGACAAGGATCTCTTTATTCTAGCCTTAGATATTCTTTCGGATCAATGTCATCAGTTCTGGTACAGATGAAGTCGATGTTTCTGCACTCTCCTCCTGGTCCCAGGTCTTGAATGCAGTGCTGTATTATACTCCAGGGGTCTCTGTCATCAATAGCTCGATTGATGTTACTTACAATCCACACAGAAGAGCACTCTCTCAGTTTCTATGGAATTAGAAAGATAAAAACGGAGTAAAATATACCTGGCAAACCTGTAGTATTGCTTTAAACGGCACATTTGCTAATGTTGAATTTTATATGTATTCCACTGTTAAAGAAATTCTTCACCCAAATATGAAAATTTTGCCATCCAATACCATCATCCTCGTGACTCAACAGAATATTTTGTTCATTATGTGAATGCCACAAGCCAAGGTGAGCTAAGGCAGTTTTTTTTTGTACATAATGACGGTTTTAGTCACACAAAGTTGCCATATGGCTTCAGAAGATTTATAATATAGTGCCTTTTGAGACATATTTATGATACTTTTACTGTGTGCCTTTAAGGTTTCAGTCATTATAACTGCATGAAAAAGAGCAGTCAGTACAGTTATTCTTTAAAATCCTACTTTTGTATTTGAGTGAATAAAGGAACTCATACTGGTTTGGAATTACATGAGTGAATTTTCATATTTGTAGGTTTTTTTTCAATATTTCATAGTTTTTAAAGAGTGCAGCGTTTACAGTTTTCCACAGGTCATCTCTAATTTTGTTGCAGTCTCCAGTCCCAGGAAGATCAACAAGCACAACGTGTTCCAGGAGTTCACCACAGTTTGGTATCTTGATTGTCACACTTTTCACAAGAGGCCAGTACCAGTCACTGTGTTGTATGTAACGTGCAACATCACTGGTAAATTCCTGGGAGACCTGTTCAAGTAAATAACACTGATTTAAATGTCCTTTCTTTAAACAGAAAGTCAGAAAACATATTTATATTTATCATATTTGGGCATTTTTTAAATTTATATATGAAAATAGGGGAGGCTGGGGCTAGATATCAGCAGTGTTAAAAGGTTTTTAAAACTCCAATCAAACAAACGTGTGTCTTCTATAACGGCGGTTTTACATTGCTATAAAACATCTAAATCATATCTCTCTTAAATGTGATTAATCCTTGTGAATGTTGTCCTCCACACGGTATTATCATATTTTTACTACGGCTGTAGTATTAACAAGTGAACAGAATACATTCAGAGCAGAGTGAACTATATAATGAAGACAGACTTTAACCAAAAACCTGTTTTTGTCTTGTCTGGAAGGTGTCAGTTTTTTGGGGGGAAATATTTTCACATTGGGAAGTGTATTTATACATAAAAAACTAAATACATTATTAAAAAAGATGTATATATTTTAGTTGGGTTCTGGTTAGTTATTTGCTAAAACAATTTTTTTTATTATACAGCTTACATTTTTGCCCATTTATGAATTGTTTTTTCACAAGTTTTGAAATTTTGCACAAAAGTATATACCGTATTGACTTGAATATAAGACGATGTTTTTTTTCTTGGAAATACATCTGAAAACTTTTTCCAAAAGGTACACGTCTTATAATCAGGGTCGTCTTATAATCAGGGTCGTCTTATAATCAGGGTCGTCTTATATTAGGGCCAATATGGTAATAGGGTTCCATTCCCCTCATACCTACCTCTATAGTATAATAAAAGGCTTAGTTATAACTGTACGTTTTTTCTTGGACAATATCGGTGTAAATGTTCACTAGGTTGATTTTTTCCTCATAGCAATGACTTCAAGCTAAGTGCCTATGTACCTAACCTGCGAAATTAAATCTAACCTGAGAAATATTTAGTGGACTAAACGTTTGACCAGGTGCCATATGTGTACTCCATATATATTCAGCCCTTACTTCAGTGTGTGAAATAGTTTTTATCGTGGTAGACAAAAAGTTATCAATTTCGGCATATTTGTCGTCTTTCTTTAGTTCTTCCAGTGTTTTCTTATCTGCATCAGCTCCATACAGTGCAGTGATTCTTTCTATGACAGTTTCGGTCCTGTTGTCAGTTGAAGTAATCTCATTTTCCCATTCCTGCAAAACAAACAAAAGACTTTATTTCCTTCACAATGTGTTTATATATATACAGTATATACATACTAGCGGTGTAGCGCTTCGGTATGTTGGGGGGGGGTAATTGCTTCCTGCAATAAGGTAAGCCAATGGATATCACATAAGCAACGTGCAAACTTTGCACAAGAGTTATGCAGGTGAACGTCTTAATCTCAGTCAATTCACTATATGCAGAAAGTGAAAGTAAAACCGGACTGACGGAGTAATGACGGAGCTTTCGGCATCTGACGCCGCATATTCTCTCAGAGACGACGAGAGGCGAAATTACTTCAACATATGCTGATAACAGTATATAGCTAACTGTTTTCATTTACTCCCTTAATATTTCTCTTGTGGCCTGTAGTACATAGTGAAAAGAAAATGAGAAGAAACATATTTCTGTTTCGTGTTAAACAGGTTGTTTTTGAAAGTTGGTGCATGAGATAGACTAAAACTTTTTATTTCATTGATTTTTATTGATGACTGCAGTGTTAATATTGTAATTATAGGCCTATAATTCATTGTATAATAGACCTGCTTTAAAAAGACCTTTTTAAAAAACATTTTAATTGAGGAGTAAATAGCCTAATCTGTTGTTATCCTGGGGAAAGTTACTATTAAATGTAATGCATTACAATATTGTGTAATGCATTACTTTTAAAAGTAACTTTCCCCAACACTGATAATAGGCCTATTATAATAGTAATAGTGCCCTGTGTGCCTCTCTGCTACGCCACTGGGTAGACAATACGTTGCCTTTCATTTGGGCTGCCTTGTTTAGTGCAGTGGCACTGAGAACATTATATTTCACACACTTTAAGCGCTTTTATTTTCCAAATGTAATAGGATTAGTCCAACGAATCGTTCAGTTTGTAATGCGTACCGAACCTAAAGCCTCGTACTGAACGGTTCAAATGAATACGTCTATCGTTACACCCCTAATACATACATATGAGAAGATAAATGTTAATAAGGAACCTCTTTAGAGATGAGTTCAATCTCTGCTGTGTAGTTGGAATCAATCAGATTCGCTTCCACCTGAGTAACAACAGATGTACAGGCACCAAAACAACCAGACGGCAGTAAATAATCTAATCCTAAAATTGCATTTAATAGGGAGCTTTTTCCTTGTCCTGTCTTTCCAAAAACACCAATGGTTTCCTTTCTTCTTTTGTCTTTATCCATCTTGTCCATTTTTGCAATGGCATCTCTATATCATGAAGAAAATAAATGTAACTGGACACTAGAATTATACATACATTTTACATAATGCTTCACAAGTACTTACAATATGTTGTTTTTTTGTTCAGTTGATGTTTGGTCTGTGCTGTTAATATTTTGAATTCTAATTCTAACTTCTGCCATGATCTGTTTCACATTCTTCAATACGAACATATCTGTATTCAGTTTAATGGATGGTTTTCCTGCGAAGACAGAACACAAAATCAAAC